ATTGCACTATTCTATTGTCTCTTGCCTAAAACACACTGAAAGCCTCTGTGCTGGAGACAATTTCCTTGTATAGTCAACGTACTTAGTGATTAAAGCTGATTCTGAGTTAAGTATTGAGAAATTGTAAATTCATGTAAAATTAACTTTTATTTTAAGCTGTTGTGGAAAATTTACAGCAATGATCCACAACTGGTGTTTGTGCTCTTAGGTTGTTATGTGTATGGTCTTATTATTATTATTATCTCAGACTAAAGCTTTAACTGATATTAAATTACAATTTAACATGTAACTTACTACATAATTTGCCTTTATGTTAAATATTTACGTAAAAAAAGAAATCATACCTAGTCTACAGGGAAAAATACTCTCTATCTACTCACCTCCTTTCTTTTCTTCTTGAGTTTCCTCATTTTACATATAAACTTAAATACCATCCTTAGTACATATAATCAATTCACAAAATGTCACAACCATAGGAATATACAATGGTGAGAAATAGCAAAGTCAATTGCAAAACTAAACCTATCAAAGTATTTCTTTCAAGCTTTAGTAATGTCATTCTGTACAAAGATGTGCAGTGGTCTTCTGATGACGCTCGGTAGAGCATGCTGCAACCAGCTACGAAGCCAAATTACACACATTCACTTATCTGAGACCAACACCGCTCTACCTGCTTGTTTGCAGGATGTATTGATCCAAGATATGTGCTTAATGAGCAACGTCTACATCCAACAGCAGTGTGATGTGTGGTAGAGAAAGCTTTGATGCAACAGCAGTGAGTCGAGGAATGGTGCTTTACAGTAAGATACATTAAGATATTACATTAAAATCACAGGCAGAGAGACAGAGGGAGGTAAATTCCAATTCACACTGTGATAATGTTTTCGGGAATTTACTCTTGTTGTGTGTCAAGGCTCTTTGTCTCTTCTTCTCTTCATCTCCCTATAAAGACAAAAACAGAATATTCATTAAACTTGGAAATAATTGCCTTTGGCCACTCAGGGCAGCAGAACATGCAGAAAACATAGTAATGTATATTACCACTTTAGAAATATTGCATGGGAAAATATTAGCTACCAGGTGCCTAGAAAGAATGTGAAGAAGAAGTCAAACCATGTTGAATTTTGGGTAAATGCACCATGTTTGTCATGCTCATTATCAGTCATAGTGTTAGGTATTTTTAGTCAGATAGAAATTGGATAGATACTTTATGTATTAGAAATGTTTAGTGGAGATAGGATGTCTAGTTAGACTGTTAAATGCTTAGTCATGCTTATGAGTTTCTACAGGGTACATCTGGTCAAGGATAACTAGAGAGAAGAGTTGATGACTGTGAGCAGACAGGGTGTTTATTATTATGACGTGTATAACTGTAGACTTAGCCATAATATGTTCTTATGTTTAAGTCACGACATGTTACTAGAAGTCTGTGAGAATGTTTTTAGTTACACACCACTTAATCAACACACACACACACACACACACACACACACACACACACACATTGATTTGCTTCATGTTTTGACTACTGCTATGACCAGCTGCAAAGCTGGCAACAGAGACGTCTCGGTTAACGTTTCTGTGTAGTATGGGGCTAGCCCAACCAAAGGGATATAATGTATAGGCCTGTTGGGTTCAGGGTCTTTCATCTTACATCTGCCTGCGAGCAGTTTGGAGGTGCAACAAAAAAACTGTAAAAAAAAAAAAAAAAAAAATACTGTCCCATACAGCTACATACAGTAGCTTCATTGACATCCAACTGTCCATTGTAGCGTTCAGTTTGAGCACAGACAGGACAGAAATTGATTCAGCTATAGTGTTTGTGCAATCTGCTGACAACTGCTAGCCAGTGTTAACTCCAGAACCGAGAGCCCAGGTCAGCGTGCAGAGTATTTTTCATTCTGTTGCTACAGTCAGCTAAAGTTATCCATCTTGAAATACCACAGCGGGTAAGGTGAGATTTAAATGATTTAAGCAAATTTTTAGCCAACCAAAACAAGACTGTAGGCAACTAAATAAAAAAAAATAAAAAAATCGCCCCTGTCCCATCATTCAGCACTGTGCGACCTACCTTTACATTTTCTATTTCCACTTCCAGCAGACATTATCAGAATTTGGAGTCATGATTCAGGCCAACTGAAATTTGAGCCTTAGTTTGCTCTCTATCAAACCCTGGGGGGGAAATATCTGTCTCTTTAGCTGCTAAATGTTCCTTCACCAGCTGGTCGCTGTCTACATAGCTCTACTGTTGGTGCTGAGCAGGTAGCATGCAGTAGGTTTCTCATCAGAACTTTGGCTTTGTAAGTTCATTATTATAAGCAGCATGTTTCACATTATACTGGTGATCTAATTTGCCTGTTGTTGCTTTTGTGTGTGTGCATTTTCAACAGTCTCACCTGCCACATCACATCAGCTAGACCATCTCATACTGATTGGCTGTGATGATCCTGGACAGACAGCAGGCCAGCAGCATGCCAATCAGCTGACAGGCAGACGGAGAATGGGTTTGGTTTATTTTATTTACAAAAACTTTACAACTGACTTATTTTTAAGCAAAGATGTCATTCCTGTAGGGCCTAGACGACCCTTTTGTAAGGATTGTGTTGCAAGTATTGTATCTGCTTTTCTGTAAAATGTAACATTAATACAAGTGTGTTTTTTCAGAAGAACAATAAAAAGCATAAAAAGTAATATTAGCTGTTGAAGATACTGTGCATTCTAAAATGCTATGTAAAATAAAGTTATATTTCAGTAAAAAGGGTGGGAACAAAGTTGCCTATTTTTCGTTTCCCTTTAACAAGTGCTGCCTGTCTTTTATTTGCACACCATCACCTGCAAATTATGCTAATTTTGCCACTCTTACCTGTGAGAATGCAATCCCAAATGTCACTCCTGCAATAATGGCCATGTTGGTTTCCATGAATGAAGTGACCAGCTCATAGCAGCCCTGAAACACAGGTGTCAGGTTAGTTTGCAATGGGTACATGGACAGGTTATATGTGCAAATTAGGGGCAAGATGTAAATCTGGGAGAGTATCTGAGGCAGTTGTTAGTGTATGGAGGAGGGAGATAGTTTGAATAAAAAGTATGAGGACCTGTCAGATGTAAATATATGTAGTCATCTGCTGACTGTTGATATTCAGAGGCTAAAAAACAAACTGACCTGGTGGTAGACCTTATTTGGGGCTATAGTTGCATTGCGGAGGTCTTCTGGGAGGCAGTCAGATGTGTAGTTATACACGCCACAGCAACGGAGCTAAAAACAAATAATAAAGCAGAAAGTACTGAGAGGTGATCAGAGATCATAGATGTGGCTGGCATTATCCTATTATTTTTTGTTGCTGTTACCAAAATCTATGGGAAGGACCAAAACCAACAAAGCACACTACTTTCTGCCTCATCTCTTGTAGTCATTCAGTCATTCAGTAGTCATTTACTGAAGATGTAAATCTTTAAAAATGAGTCACAAATACAGAGTTTGATTAAGAAAAGTCCAAACACCGGGGCACTCTAGTTTTTAGAAAATGTTACTCAAATAAGAGGTAAATGGGGAATTTGTTAGGGACTATTTTGAGCCAGGAATCAATACATATTTGTGCTGGTGAGTATTTATGCAGTGCCCCTATTTACTGAAATAAAGGAAGACGTTACCCAACACAACAATATGATTCACTGGTGCATTTGTAAGAATTTCTGAACAACAATAGTAAGAAATTCATTGATGGGTTTGTTGTTTTCGTCAATTTTTCTTACAATAAACAGGAAAAATACAGAATATTACCACATTTGTTCTTTAGAAATGCACTGCTTATGCATCCAGCTTATGTTTTTATCAGCAGCAATTCACTGATGTTGGAGACTTACCTTGTGCTGCAAGTTATCAACAGCACGGCTTGCCTCATCCGCAGCATTGTAGTTCAGGACTGCATCAAAGTATGTTCTGCGAAAGGTTCCTTTTATCTGTAGCATGCAATCATATGCACATAATCACACACATTACAAGAATGAGAGTGTGCTTGAGTGTTAGACTTAAAAGGTTGTTAAACAGTAAACTACATGCAGACCTCGTGGCGAAACACAAATCCAGAGATGCCAGCCACTAGCTCAGCGAGAAAGATGAGCGACAGGAACATGGCATACTATAGAGAGAGAAGGAGGAAGGACATTTGCAAACCCTCTGCTTTAGATGTGTATTATGTATCTATTCACGCAAACACTCATACACACTCCAGCACACTCACTTGACTACCATTAAAGGACCAAAGTGCGTTGCAGCATCTACAGGATATCCGATCCCTCGCAAACAGCAGAGAGGTCAACCATTATTATTTTTATCATGTGACCTGTGGGTAATTAATCAGCATCGACAACACTCTTGGCTCAACATAACACTCTGCCTACGGCCTCCTACAGCCTCTCACCAGCTTCAGCATCCATGGGCTTCCTCTGCAGGTGGCGAAGCATCCAAACAGGCCAAAAACGATGATGATGGTCCCAGTACCAATGAGGACGTATGGGGCGTTGGTGGAGTTATCAGCTATCAGAGAGATATACGGGCCCAGCATCAGCTTTCCCCATACTCCCACTGCCAGCAGGATGGCTCCTGTTATCTAGAGGCCAGGGTTGGAGAGATGATGTAACAGGAAACAGAAAGAAAGCAAGGCACAGACCATTATCTCTGTACTTATTATAATAGCTGTGCTTTAGCAGCAGGGAGAAGGGGGAGGAGGGGAAAGAGGATCAAGGTGGAACAACAAAGGAGAACAATTAGAGGAGTTAGGAGGAGGAGACTGGAGACAGAAGACACAAATTTATCTGGAGTACAGGATAGTAATCACCTGCTTCATGAACGCGCCTACTCAAACACACACATGCAGAAAGAGAGAGCGAAAAAGGAGGGGGACAATTCAAAGACGCTCCTTGATCTGAGGCGAGACACCTCCCCCTGTTGTTCATCTCTTTGCCTTTCAAATGAAGGCTGCGGATAAAAGAACGTGTTGTACAAGGCAGCTGAAGCGGCGTGTGTCTCAGCCGGGTATGTCTTACTGGCATCGGAAAGAGAGCGGGGTGTGGAACGGCTGCTGATGATCTGACATTAGTGAGGGCCAACTCATCATCTTAACCTCCTTCCTTCCAAGAGGAGGCTGCTCACCAACCTGCTGCCAGGCCCTCTGACTAGAGAGGGAGCAGTGTTCACAAAATGTGCCTGTGCACCCTGAAACCTCTAAAACTGATGAGAGGAATATGTTCAGCTCTCAGTAGGAAATGCACCACTCTGACTGAAATAGCAGTGGGCAACTCCATATCTTTAAGTCTAATGTCATGCTTGTAATAAAAGTACAATCTAAATATATTTCTTTGCCTATGCTAAGGCTGCCATGTTCCCTCTCTAACTATAGCTTAATGACTGTGTTAAACTTTGCTCTGTTGGCAGGGAGCACATATAATGATTGACCACACGTTTTTCACCATGACAAATCACCAGCCTCTGGCGTTTCTGTCCTGTGACTGCTTTATTGTTTTGAATGTGGATGCAGGCCATAAACAAACATATAAGAATGCCTTTTAGGCTTAAACACAGTGAGAGTAGTTGGAGAACTTTTACTGTGTTAATTCGACTGTGGTTCATGCAACTGTTGACACACTTTCAACACTATGACACACAGGAACAACGAGCTTCAGCTGAGGGAGGGATGATAAGAAGAAATACACATATAGCAGCTCCTGAAGAAGGCAAAAGCAACAGCTATGTCCTGAACTTACAGACACACTAGTTTAGGTCTGTAAATAGTGGTAAATTTCATTGTTTGTGAAACAGTCTGGAAACCTGGGAAAAAGATTTTGAAATACTGAAACTGATTTAATTGATCAAAAACTGTTTTAATATCCAGCTTACTACCATAGAAGACTAGCAAAACCATAACATTTAAGAAGCTGTAACTGGTACAGTTTGGGCATTTTTGTACAAAAACAAATTAAATTGAAATTAACTGATTATCAAAATTGTTATCAAAATCCTTTTCTATCAATTAAAGGGCCTTTCATTGTGTTGTCAGTTTGAAAGCAACAAACTAAACAGTATGAGAATAGTTGCTCAGTTTCAGTATTTTGGTAGAACAAACACTTTTAAGAGTAATTTACTCATTTATATACATTTGTACAAAAATATCCAGTATTGTAACAACATATTTTGACAAAGATATGTGGGAAACACCCACAGAGACCAATGTAGATGGCTCCTATTTAATGTCACCATCCTCTACTTTGAAAAAGAAGTGGTTCAGATGCATATGTTACTCAGTATCTATCACTCAATATTTAATACTACAGGCCTTAAATGTCCTTTTATTAAAATTTTTAAAAATGGCTTGACAAAACAGTTTTAAAAACCCACATTTTTCTATCATGTTTGCACCACTGTAACTTTGGTTCAGGACCACTTATACTCATTTTAACTGTTTGGTTGCAAAGTCACCTTTCAAATGAGACCAGGGTCATGAGTGTAAGCAAAGGCGTTAAAGACTAGTAACATTTTTTATTTTGCGTTGGTTATTTTTGAGCTTGTGCACAATAAATGGGGTGAATGAGGGTGTTGTATGAATGGGTTCATGGATTATTGGTTTCAGCCCTGCACTGGTTTTCCATTTTATTGTTGATGTATGACTTAAATGTGTAGCTGTGTTTTCTATTGCATAAGTAAAAACAGGCAGTATTGACAACCCCTGGGCAGTTAGATGCATGATAAATCCTCATTGGTACAACGTTTGATAGAGCTGAACCACATAATGAGAATTAAAGCCACTGGATTTTCTATATAAAACCTCTCAGCAGGTGACTGTCTAATGTTTTCATAATCTCTTTATCTGAATCCTCATCCTGTTGTTCCCCATACTACTGTAGCTGTTACATGCACAGACATTTTCTATAAGCCTACTGGTGCAGGCATTCATGCTACATTATATAAACATGTATCATGTTAATCTTTAAATAAGTACTGCACAGTATGTAAAAACACTTAGGTACTAAGATCTTGAAATGTTTCTTGCAGGTATTTGCACTTTTAGTTAGAGTCCAAGCCTTTCATCATATTTTGTTCTTTTTTAAAGTTACAAAATGAAACATGATAATAATATGGTAAACATGGTCAAATCCTAGCGTGCTCTCCACAATCCAAAGGTTCATTTAAGCACAAGTAAGCGCAGATGAACTACATACGCTGTATGTTTTTTCAGACAGTTGGGGGCAGCTGTAAAAACAACACTGACATACCATCACTTCACAGAGTCAAGATGCCAAATGTGATTGCAATAACTCTCTCTCCCTCTGGCTCTTTAGTTGCTCAGTGCATTCACCACTTAGTCACTGATTGTATCTGTCTTCCATTTGGTAGCAGGGTAAAATGTTTATCTGACCCTTTTATTTTCTGTCAAAAATGGGACTGATTAAAGTGGTAAAACATTGAAGTAACAGGTCATATAACCAAAACAATAAGCTGAAAAACATCTGTGACATTGAGGTGTATTGCAGAGTTGGATGATGGATGGACACATTGCACACAGCGTGGACAGATTACACACAGTCATCTGATCCGGTGTTAGCATAAAATATTGATTAACGCAGCTTTACAAGTCAGAGGAGGGAGCTCTCTGAGGCTTATTGGTCCTTATTAAATATTCTACAATGGAAATGTAGACTTGTCCTTAGTCAATCAAACTGTACAGAAAACAAACATTCCTTTACTGGAGAAATAGCCCAAGTCACAACCACAGTGTCAGTAGTTTGTCTGGAAGGGATGCACTTCTACTGTAGCTCCTATTGTAAACTGCTTTCTACTATGAGTGAGAGCAATGAACAAAATGATCTATCACAGTATATTTTATGCAATTTTTATTGATACGTGTCTATTTATATACAGTAAAATCTTATGACATGGTTTCTGAAGACTTTCTAACATTTCTAATGATTATAACATTAATCCTAATGTACATTCCTTTGTTTGTTTGTTTGCACATTACTTCTGTTCTCTCAGCCTTAGATTGTTTACTTGCCCCTTGCTGTTGCCTTACATAAGGATATGTACATACACACTGAGAGCCGCTGTACCAAGGTCAAATTCCTCATGTGTCCAACACACCTGGCCAATAAAGCTGATTCTGATTCTGATATCTATTGATAACACATACAGACAGACAGGGATTTTTGATTATAGCTAATGCAGCAAACTAAATATCTTCCAAATAAAGTTACTTAATCACAATACTGGATATATATATATAAATAAAATGCCACCACAAAACAACCCTACTCAGTGATTTGCAACACTGTCCACAGTAATCTCATTCTCAACCTCAGGGTTGGAAGATAAATCTGAGTGGTTGCAAAATGATTAACAGAACGCAAAAGCAGAAAAATACACATCTGCTACACATATATTTTCCTGCATTTAGCATATAAATGACTTGATTGTTTCATAATTTTAGCCATAAAAAAACACAATTTGAGTCTTTGATTGAACTGGTGACCATGATGAGGGCTCACAAGTAAAGTAAGAGGCTAAAAGATAAAAAGGTGGAAGCCATTACTCTAATGAACCCAGAGATATTAAACTGACAGATACTGAGGTATATGTGGTGCATTAGAATCTGCAGTGCACAAATATAAGTTGTCTCACAGTCTATAATCATCATACCGACCAACCATACTTTACCAAATTAATGCAATTTAACGTAAAGTTCTTGCTCTAACAATTATTTTCATTATCTGTAAATCTTCTGACTATTTTCCATAAATAAGTGATGAAACACTTTGTCTATAAAATGTCAGAAATGCCTAGTAGAGCTCTCCACAGGCCATGGTGTGGTCTTCAGATGCCTTGTTCTGTCTGATCAACAGTCCACAACCCAGAGATATTTAGTTTATGGTCATGCATGAGAAATTATTTTTCAGCAATGAATGAGCCAGAGCAGACTCTCATTTCAGAGAACAGTCCTCCTGATGACGATGTACTCACTGTTTATGGCCTACATAATCAGCTACAAAATGTCTCTTCCCCTAAGCATTGCCACCGCATACAAATAAAGGATGGTCTTGTCATTGCTGAAGTGCTCATTTTAAAACCAACAGGGAAATCAAGTCCAAGGAGCAGGAGCAAGTCATTTGGACCTCATGTCTGTTGCTGAATTCCAAACAGCTTCAGATGCTCTTTCTCCTCCTCCCTGAAGCCA